CTGGTCTCTCTCTCTCTCTCTCTCTCTCTCTATATATATATATATATAATAGTATAGCCGGCCGGCTATACTCTTTTTTCAATTTAAAAAAATAGTATAGCCGTGCGGCAGTACTCGTTTTCCCCTAATTTTTTTTAAAAAAAATAGCATTTACACTTTTGACACGTGGCACCTACATAAAATATTTAAATAAAATAAAATATGTTTCTTTACTTTTGTTTTTTGGCCTACTTCTTTAATTTACTATACGTAATCAAGTAATATCTTAGCCTTTTTTAATAACTTTGCTTAGTAATTATATTTTAATTATTATTTAATGTAAAGAGATTGAAGAAAAAGAACACAAAGTAATTAATTTCTATTTATTAAGTCTTTTGTGAAATCATTTGGGTGTCTTAATTCAATTTCTCCATAGCCTAAGAACTCTATCCATTACTATTATGCCATTACTCGAGTATCTATCGTCTCTTCTTAATTTTTTACTTTTCCAAAGTTATTACCCGTATAAAGATTTTAGCACTTTCACGTTTAATAATGTATTATACACGTGCGCACATATTTTTCATGTTTAATAAAGGTATTTTTAACAAAAAATTTAGTAAGACACACAAAATTAACATATTATACACGTATTATTGAATAAAAATAATATATACCTTAAAAAAAAAGGGTATAGCCGCACGGCTGTACTCAGTTGCCCCTAATTGTTTTTCAAAGGGATTGTATAGCCGTGCGGCTATACACGTTTTTGCATAAAATATAGTATAGCCGGCCGGCTTTACCTCTTTGACACGTGGGCTTAGGCCACGGGCTGGTCTTTTTATATATATATAGTAGTATCGCCGGTCAGCTATACGGTTTTTTTAATTTAAAAAAATAGTATAGGGGCTCGGCTGTACTCGTTTTTCCTTATTTTTTTAAAAAATAGCCTTTACTCTTTTGACACGTGGCACCTAGGGCTGGGAGCGTCCTTTTTTTAAGATATACATAGTATAACCGCGCGGTGATACTCTATTTTTTACTTTCAAAATTAAAAATATGTAAAATATGTTTCTTTACTTTTGTTTTTTGGCCTACTTCTTTAATTTACTATACGTAATCAAGTAATATCTTTGCCTTTTTTTAATCCCTTTGCTTAGTAATTATATTTTAATTATTATTTAATGTAAAGAGATTGAAGAAAAAGAACACAAAGTAATTAATTTCTATTTATTAAGTCTTTTGTGAAATCGTTTGGATGTCTTAATTCAATTTCTCCATAGCCCAAGAACCATATCCATTACTATTATGCCATTACTTGAGTATTTATCATCCCCTTTTGATTTTTCACTTTTCCAAAGTTATTACCCGTATAAAGATTTTAGCACTTTCACGTTTAATAATGTATTATACACGTACGCACGTATTTCTCATGTTTAAATGCACATATATTTTACAAAAAATTCAGTAAGACACACAAAATTCACGTATTATACATGTATTACGGAATAAAAATAATATATGCCTTTTAAAAGGGTATAGCCGCACGGCGGTATTCAGTTTTCCCCAATTGTTTTCCAAATAGATAGTCTAGCCGTGCGGCTATACACGTTTTTTGTATAAAAATAGTATAGCCGGCAGGCGTTACCTCTTTGACACGTGGGCTTAGGCCATGGGCTGGTCTTTCTATATATATATATATATATATCTATATAATTGTATAGGCGGTCGGCTATACTATTTTTAAAATTTAAAAATAGTATATCCGCTCGGCTGTACTCACCTTTTTTTTATATTTTTTTAAAAAATAGCCTTTACTCTTTGGCTATGTGGCACCTAGGGCTGAGAACGTCATTTTTTAGGATATACTAATATAGCCGCACGGCTATACTATTTTTTATCTTTCAATATTAAAAAATATAAAATATGTTTCTTTACTTTTGTTTTTTGGCCTACTTCTTTAATTTACTATACGTAATCAACTGATATCTTAGCCTTTTTTAATCACTTTGCTTAGTAATTATATTTTAATTATTATTTAATGTAAAAAGATTGAAGAAAAAGAACACAAATTAATTAATTTCTATTTATTAAGTCTTTTGTGAAATCGTTTGGGTGTCTAATTATTATATATATAATAGTATAGCCGTGCGGCTGTACTCGTTTTTCCTTTTTTTTTAAAGGTTTATTTATGTACCTGCCCCCTGTGCTTTCAAACTTGTATCAGATTACCACCTGGGCTTTGAAACGTCTTAAAATACCCCCCGCACTTTTAAAAATGGTCTCACGTTATCCATTCCATCAATATTATGGACGTTCCGTTACGTGCTTTGAGCCCCACTTCGTTTTAATCCTTAACATTGGAGAATAAGGGTTTTTGCAGCTTCAGAAAAGGGGAATGGGGGTATTTGGGTGAGAAGGGGAAATTTCAGCTTTAATGTTGAATCTTAAAACTGGTTTTTGCAGAAATTGGTTAAATACAAATAAACACAATGGTCTGTTAATTCCATTTATTTTTAAGCAATCACAGACTATAATGGTGTATTTGTAGTTTGATGTGAGGAGATGTTTGATTAAAACTGCAGATTGGGTTCTACTTCCTTCTCATGCAGGTTATTTCTCTGCTTCAAAGTTCCTTGATTTTCTGCTTCCACTGAAAACTTGTGTTTCCAGATTGAAGAACACAGAAGTACTCTAAACCTAGTTAATGAATTTGAAAGCTAAATCAAGTGATTAGAATTTGGGTGGAAAGTGACCATTATGGACCCCAAATTGCCTACATTTTTGCCCTTTTTGAATCAATTTTACAAGTAATTGGGTTCTGATTGAGAGATGTATTAAGCTAATGCAGCCCTAATTTACCAAGTTCTGATTGATAGATGATGGGCCTATAATTTTATCTTAACAGCATAAGATTTTTCAACGACTTTGTAACCTGGAAAACCAGAGACTATTAATGCTAATAAGAGTTAAAAACAGAGGAAGCAACAACTTAACTCTTTGTTTAAGTCTGACGATTTGCTTGAACTAATATGTTTTGATTTGTGGGAGCCTACCTGAATTATCTCTTAGGACTCTTAAATGGATCATAAACTTATAGTTGGGGTCAAGGGGAAGATACTCAAAAGTCAAAAGTGATGCTTAAATACATCCCCATTCTCTCTCTGAAATATGAAGTCTTGAAATTTCAATTCAACTGTCTGATTTACCAAGTTCTGATTGATAGACGGTACTAAAGTGTAGAATTTTCAGTTTATTGACTTTTATCTTTCTGAGATTACTTTTCATTTTAGGTTTTGGTTGTTTGATGATTTAGTCCAACACTAATAGAATGAAATATCTTACAGCTAATGCAAGCTCATGGAAGGAGAATTAGAGATAAAATAACTATTTTTTGCAAGTTTGTAAGGAGATGAAATTCACTTACAGGAACAACTTTATTTATAAGCCTACTCTACTTCTGTTATGTTTAACCTTCAATGATTGTATCTCCATGGCGTCTCATGTTATCTCCGCAGGCCAATCTCTTTCTGGGAACCAGACAATTACCTCTCCAAGTGGCATTTTTGAGCTGGGTTTCTTCACACCAGGTAACTCTCAAAACTATTATATTGGGATATGGTACAAAAAACTACCCCCGAAAACAGTAGTTTGGGTGGCAAACAGAAACCAACCTGTTTCTGATACGTCGTCTTCAACATTGCAACTCTTCCAAAATGGAAACTTAACCCTACTGGTCCAATCCAAAACTGAAATTTGGTCAACTCATTCTATGTCAACGGTTTCTCATTCCACCGTAGCAATGCTACTTGACAATGGGAACTTTGTCATAACATATGCATTTAATTCATCTGTTGTTATATGGCAGAGTTTTGATCACCCAACTAATACTTGGCTTCCAGGAGGGAAGCTTGGACATAATAGGCTTACGAAAGAAAAACTAAGTCTTACTCCATGGAGAAACCCACAAAATCCAGCACCTGGCCTCTTTCCTATCTGGGCAGTATCTTGTATGTGATGGAGAATTTTATTTTCCCCATCCAATCTAGATCTTATGAATGGGAGTGGTGACATGAGCTTGTATCTTGATGTGCTTTCATCTATTTCAAATGGGATATATAAATATATCATTGTTCTTTGTAGTTTGTATCTTCAAGGTGAAGTATTAGGAACGGGGTATAGATTACAAGCTGCAGCAGCAGCAACCCAGCCCAAACAGTGATTTCTTCTCTAGATTCTCCCAAAATTCGAACCTCACCTCAGATTTTGATAGGAACGGGGTGTCTTAATTCAATTTCTCCATAGCCCAAGAGCCCTATCCATTACTATTATGCCATTACACAAGTATCTATCGTCCCGTTTTGATTTTTTTACTTTTCCAAAGTTATTACCCGTACAAAGATTTTAGCACTATCACGTTTAATAATGTATAATACACGTACGCACATATTTCTCATGTTTAATACACGTATTTTTTACAAAAAATTCAATAAGACATGCAAAATTCACGTATTATACACATATTACTGAATAAAAATAATATATACCTTCAAAGAAAAGTATAGCCACACGGCGGTACTCAGTTTTCCCTAACTGTTTTTCAAAAAGATAGTATAGCCGCGTTTTTGCATAAAAAATAGTTTACCTCTTTGACACGTGGGCTTAGGTCATGGGCTGGTCTTTATATTTATATTTATATTTATATATATATTATATAATAGTATAGCCGGTCGGCTAATCATTTAAAAAAATCGTGTAGCCGTCCGGCTGTACTCGTTTTCCCTTTTAAAAAAAAATAGTCTTTGCTCTTTTGACACGTGCCACCTAGGGCCAGGGAGCGTCCTTCAAACAAAAATAAACTTGGAGAAGGTGGTTTCGGATCAGTCTTTAAGGTAAAATCAAATATAGTCCTCCCTACAGTTGGCTTGACAGCTTCCACATGTCATTTGGGTCGGGACTATGGATACAAGTCGTATATTGAACGTTTGCAAACAACAGAGTACGGATTTTGGTCATCATATATGGCTAATGGATTTCAGGGTACATTAAAAGATGGACAAGAAATAGCTGTGAAAAGGCTCTCAAAACATTCTAGACAAGGATTCAATGAGTTGAAGAATGAGGTTACACATGAAGAGAAACAGGATTTCATTGAGTTGAAGAATAGGTGTGTTGGTGCTAGAGATAGCGAGTAGGAAGTGGAACAGAGGATTTACTCATTACTTGTTTCTGTTTCTTCTTTTAATTAAGCACAATGGTTTTGAACTTTTGATCAATTCTTTTAGGCATGGATGCTATACACAGAAGGCAGGTCCATTGAAGTGCTTGATACATCAGTAGGGGACTCCAGTGATCCACATGAAGTTGTGAGATCAATTCATGTAGGTCTTTCAAGTGTGCAGCATAACCCGGCAAATAGACCGAGCATGCCAGCTACAGCTGTAATGCTGAGTGGTGAAGGGTCATCGCCTCAACCTCAAAAACCTGGTTTTTATAGTGAAAGGGATCTCAATGAACTGGAAGTCGATCCTTCCTCTAAAGCATTTTTAGCTAATGCAGTCACAGTCCTTTTACACTAATAGAGGCTCGATAAACTATATTTCATGTTGGCGTATTAATCTGGTGCTTTTGAAGTCAATTTGAAAAGTTAAATACAATTAAGAGATTCCCAACCCATGCGTTAGCAAATGCACCCTCTAATTTTTATTTTTATTTTTTCTTCGGAGTTGAGGCAGAGTTCACACTGCACAAACACATATGCTAATACAAGAACAAATATAAAAGCTTAAATGAATTAGATTTTTCACTTGAGGTGGTGTAATATTTCAAAAAAAAATTATGTTCTTTGGTGGGTTGGTTTTTGTGTTCCTATGCAAGAGGAGGAGGAGACAATATCTTCTTCTTCTTTTTTTTTTTTTTTTTTTTCTTTCAGCAAACAAGAGGGCATGATCAAATGTCAAAATCTATAACAAAAATGCAATATCCAAAGAATGAAAAGCAGTCCAACCAAGAAGAACCACTAGTGGACGAATATCGAATGCATAAAGATTTATCAAGTTTCAAGCAAGAAGAACCAAACCAATCAATCTATTGCTTAACCAAACCAGAAATAAATAGTCAGAATTTGAGATTGGGGCCTAAAAACCGTACCTTGTTATTGGCAAGACCATAGAAAATCCATGATAGGATAGCTTCATCATTTCCTTCCACTGAAGACAGAAACATCAATGAAGCTTTTGAGAGCACTTAATTAACTTGTTATATGTAAATATGTAAAACAGCAGCCATGACAAAACAGCGCATTCAGAACATCAACATAGGATGCAAAAGCGATCCCACTAGAAGATTTAAGTTAACCAAAAAAAAAACCACACATATTCTCAAGCAACATTTTTCTGATCAACTTCTAATACCAAACAATATATTAACTCTAATTCAAATCACAACATGAGTTGTTGAAATCATGATAGAATACACATATGTAACATCTTAAAAGGAGAAGTTACCCACTTCCAAGGAGCATCTCGAGCAGGAAGATTCGAAGGCTTTAGACTGAGACTAGGCAAAATATTCACGAGATCTCTTTCTTCACTATCTGCATGATTATGTTCAACAAGACAAGTGTTACCACACAAAGGAAGGAAGGCAGGTTCAATAAATGACAAGGCAACAAAATTACCAACCAGTCACAACTGCGCTACAATTTCAATGTTGGGAAGATATATACTCTTAACTTAGGAAAGAATTGGACACCCAAAAAATAACACCTAAATATATTACCAATTTTATTAAACTTAAAAGAAGACTTAAAGTATAACCAATTCTGCAGTTCCAAAATAAATAAAATAATAATTTGTAAGTCATATCCCTTGCCTGGACTGGAAATAGGTAATGAGTGCCTCATTGTTGGAACTGTGCGTGGCTCCTTTACTGTTTTGGACTCCATCTTCTTATAAGAAGTTTCACCAATTAACTAAGACATCCGTTAATTGCTTCTCCCCAATATGCTCATTTCCAGAAGCTACGGAAGTCTTTGTTTCTCCTATAACTGAGATAAGAAATCATAAGCATTGCACATATAGCATCCATTTACCATAGGAATAAAATGCTATCTTCACACTTTTAATAACACATCCAAAATACTATGAACAAAAAATGCTGAGTAGATACAACAAGTCTGTCTCAACACTTTTACTAACCAAATTCTATTGCATGAACTCTATAATAAGAGCAATTTGATAATTTTTCTTCTTATAAGAAACACAAATTTAAGTTACAAACTTTCATTAAAACAAAGAAAGAGAATCATGATGCAGAAGACACTGTTGATAACAATAGTGAAGATTATTTGTACCATTCCTTATACTCAGTTCTGATTATTTGACTTCAGTAGCGGGCAAAGTTGCATCTACTAGATGGCCACATCAATGAAGCTTTTGAAAGCACTTAATTAACTTGTTATATGTAAATATGTAAAACAGCAGCCATGACAAAACAGGGCATTCAGAACATCAACATAGGATGCAAAAGCGATCCCACTAGAAGATTTAAGTTAACCAAACAAAAAACCACACATATTCTCAAGCAACATTTTTCTGATCAACTTCTAATACCAAACAATATATTAACTCTAATTCAAATCACAACATGAGTTGTTGAAATCATGATAGAATACACACATGTAACATCTTAAAAGGAGAAGTTACCCACTTCCAAGGAGCATCTCGAGCAGGAAGATTCGAAGGCTTTAGACTGAGACTAGGCAAAATATTCACTAGATCTCTTTCTTCACTATCTGCATGATTATGTTCAACAAGACAAGTGTTACCACACAAAGGAAGGAAGGCAGGTTCAATAAATGACAAGGCAACAAAATTACCAACCAGTCACAACTGCGCTACAATTTCAATGTTGCGAAGATATATACTCTTAACTTAGGAAAGAATTGGACACCCAAAAAATAACACCTAAATATATTACCAATTTTATTAAACTTAAAAGAAGTATAACCAATTCTGCAGTTCCAAAATAAATAAAATAATAATTTGTAAGTCATATCCCTTGCCTGGACTGGAAATAGGTAATGAGTGCCTCATTGTTGGAACTGTGCGTGGCTCCTTTACTGTTTTGGACTCCATCTTCTTATAAGAAGTTTCACCAATTAACTAAGACATCCGTTAATTGCTTCTCCCCAATATGCTCATTTCCAGAAGCTACGGAAGTCTTTGTTTCTCCTATAACTGAGATAAGAAATCATAAGCATTGCACATATAGCATCCATTTACCATAGGAATAAAATGCTATCTTCACACTTTTAATAACACATCCAAAATACTATGAACAAAAAATGCTGAGTAGATACAACAAGTCTGTCTCAACACTTTTACTAACCAAATTCTATTGCATGAACTCTATAATAAGAGCAATTTATAATTTTTCTTTTATAAGAAACACAAATTTAAGTTACAAACTTTCATTAAAACAAAGAAAGAGAATCATGATGCAGAAGACACTGTTGATAACAATAGTGAAGATTATTTGTACCATTCCTTATACTTCTGATTATTTGACTTCAGTAGCGGGCAAAGTTGCATCTACTAGATGGCCACTGGAACCATATTTCTTTGAATTCTGCTAACCAAGAGGAACCATATTTCTCAAATTTGCAGCTAAACTTCTTCAATTTCGGGTTTCAGACTTTCAGTCAATCGCAGTGTTCGGAAAATCGGCCTAGGTGGCTAGGCGGGCGCTAGGCGGCTAGGCGGGAGCTAGGCGGCTGGGCGGGAGCTAGGCGGCTGGGCGGGTTGGGTCTTTTTTGGTGTCGAACCAGGAGGACGAAGCAGTCGAAACTGAAAATCGAAGCGAAATGACTGTGACTGGGTCTGCAACCTCCGCCCTCTGCGAGTGCAAGCTTCGTGTTCGTTTGGATTATATTCAAAGAGTATAGCCGTGCGGCTATAATTTTAAAATATTTGAATATTTTAAAGAGTATAGCCAAACGGCTATACTTTTAAAATATCCGAATATTTTAGAAAGTACAGCCGTGCGGCTATAACATTTTAAATATACAATTTTGTCATATCATTTTAGGGTTTAGGGTGGGCTAGAGTTATTTCTTCAATTATTTTATTTATACAAGCGATATTGGGGAATGAGAATTTAAATTCTTTATGATACCTCCCATTATAATGATTTCCAGCTATTAGCCCTTTGGGCAAGAATAAAAAATGAATTTTATTTCTAACAAATAATACAAGTTAAACTCATAAATACCAAGAATAATAATAATAATAATAATAATAATAAAAGGTATCCGCCAACATTTTGTGGATCAAAGAATTTTGAATTTCATAGTATAAAATTGCTTGTATATCAATTTACTTTCTAAAATGTATCCGTTGTAATTATGAACTAAACCCAATTGCAACATTTTTTTCTCATTGCACTTGACGACCATGCTCTTCTGCTATCAGATATGTTAGTTGAAAAATTGGATATAAAACAATCTAACGAGACAGCGAAGTGAAGTTTGCAGCTCTATTTTGAAATTAATTGAAGGTATCAGAGGTCATATGACATTGATATATGAACTATTCTAAATGAGAATTCAAACAACATGTGTTAGATGAGAAGTAGCATCTCATTCTTAAATATAACATATTATTTCATTTTTTTACTGGTTGTGCCTGTTGTTAAGCTGGTGCAACCAACATTCTTTCACCACGAAATTTTTCCTAAACCTCAAAGAAATTTAGCTAGGAAAACCTTTGGTGGGAAGGGAAAGTTAAGATAGAAATAGAGGCAGAGGCAAGGCTGAAGAACAATCGCGCGCGAACACATGTGATATTACAAAAAATGTTGCGAAGGAATTTAGAATGGCCATTTTCCAAATTAAGCATACATCTTATTATGAAATCAAGATAGGAACTTATAACAAGCCCTCATTAGAGTAACATTGTCCAAAAACACACGATGAACACCACACTCAACACACATAATTGCTCATTAGTGTTGTAAATATAAAAAGATGAGATATCGCTTAGTACAATCAAATTAATAATTCTTCATTCCTCGTCGCCCAAATCATTGAACGCATTGCGCAAATCATTGAGCATTTCATCCCATGTCTCCTCCACATGCAGATGAAATGAGTATCCATCAACATGAAGAACAAAATTGTCCATACCACAAAGACATTCAGGAAATTCATAACCCTCGCACATAAATTGACTAATATGAGACGCAATCTTTGATATTTCATCGTCGTTCTCATCGAAACAAGAACAATCTCTGGCATCCAACATCACCAAATCTTTGCATCCACGCATCAACGTGACAAGACCATCCCGATTGACTTTTGCACCCTTCAAATTTAAGTACTTGATATTAGGCATCTGATTCTTACATATATGAGATATATTAGTCCGCGTTGTATTCTATGCAGAAATATAAAGTTACCCATAAGTTGAAGCGCTCAGGATCTTGTAGTGAAGGCATCATCGCTTCCACACCGAGAAGTCTCTCAAGTCCTCTTCGATCTGTAAAGAGATACTATCATACATCAAAAGCTCAGCTCGGTCATCGAGAGGCATTTTACCTCACAAATAGAAATCCCCCAAGTCCCCAGACGAGAGTTTTGTGTGGGGAGTTGCATCTCTTGGACAACTCCTTCCTAGGACCTTGGTTCCCTTTATCCCCACTTACATTTTGTGAATTTGGTATGCTAGCTGCATGCCAAAACTTGTATATGTTGCTTGTGTTTGTTATACCAAATACCAATTGGATCATGTTTGTGAAGAAAAAAAAAGGGCATATCAATGTGCACCTAAACTGAGGCAAAAATCCAATATAATTGTATACAATTCCATGTGCTTGCCAATCTGAAACTTGACCCATGCATATGCAATGTCTTTGGGTTTCAAAAATAGAAATCCATGAGATTTTGAAGGTGAATATGAATCTGCCAATACTTCATCAACCAACTCCAAACCCCTTCCTTCATTCCATAAGTGCCATGCCTAACAAAATTTCATGTATGTTGGCCAGTATTGTTAAACTCTGCTGCACTTAGCTTCATATAGTTGCTTAAGCTGTATGAAAGATACGATTTTGCATTAAGATTTAGAGTGTGAGCTTACATAAGCTAGGAAGCCTATATGTTGGTCACTGGAATAGAAGTTGGTATTCTTTTTGCCACTAATAATCTCCAATTGCAAGAACCCGAAGCTGTAGCCATCAGATTTTTCAGAAAACATACCGCCCATGGCATACTCCGGAGACATATAGCCACTGCACAATCAATTGAGAACTGATGAAACTACTTCTTTGTTTATAGTCTTGAGAAAAATTATACCAGAAAAGTTAAATCTAAATGCCATGCAATGCAACTAATTTTTAGTTAATTATGAACACAAACAGAAGGGAATTGGAGTCGGTTAAAATTGCAAAGTTGTAAATTGAAGTGCTGGTACACCTCGATTTACCAACATGTTAATCCCAATGTTCGAAAAATCACTATACAGTAAGGGGGCGGCAGGCAAAGGCCTAGCGCCTAGAGCCTAGAGGAGTAATGGGGGTCTATGCGAGTGCCTATGCACTTTTTTTTATAAATTATTTAGTATTATAAATTATAAATTTATACCAAAATCATGAAAAATAAAAGGATATATAAATTATATATTAAACAAATAGTATAATATTTCTTTGATTTAAAATATTAAAATATTTATTTGTTATTTGTTACTTATTAGTGGTTACTTTAGTGATTTCATAATGCAAAATCCATTTAATGTTGTATTTTATGAAGCCCAGGCCTTTCTCTCCCGCCAGGCCCCTTTCTAAACCCTAAACGTAACTCGCAACCTCTCTTCTTCTTCAATCCTCATTTCTCTCTCTCTCTCTCTCTCTCTCTCTCTCTCTCGCCTCAGCACCATCGTCATCTCGTCCAAGACCTTGGAGTTCCAAAATGGCCCTTTTTTTTTCTTCTAGGCACCAGCACCCGCCTAGACGCCTAGCCCGCCTAGCCCTCGCCTAGCCCCCGCCTAGCCCCTAGCCCGCCTAGCCCTCGTCAAGCCCCCGCCTAGCTCGCCTAGGCCGCCTAGGCAATTTATTCAACTCCATTAAATGCTTTTTAAGGTTTATGGTTGTGGTGCACTGAGTGATTCAACTGAATAATGCCTGGGGCATGGTCAGATAGTCCATTTCCTCTGTCGATTGTAATGACGGTATGCACAACTCTTGGGGCAGTAGCCCTGCCTCCTCTACTAACAAAGATATTGGCAGGGACTTACATCCCTGTGGATGCTGCCAAACTGTCAATCAGCACCATGCAGGTTAAGTTAAATATAATAAACTTCAGTAATATTATATTATCCATCAGCTGGGGCTTATGGTCTCTATTCTGTCATATGTAGGTCGTTGTTGCTCCAATTTGTTAGGTTCTTATATGCATAGTGCATTTCCTGCAGTGGTTAAAATTGTGATACCTTTTGCGCTTTGTTCTAGCTGCATCACTGCTTGCATGCTGGTACATTTGTTGTGCATATAAATATATTTTAATTACTTATATGTAAAATATGATTGTCTTGCCTGTGGTTCCTTCCAAATGTGCTCTCTTTCTCAAACATACTAGATTTCATTTTGTGGGCCAGTGTATTCTCTGAGAATGTTGTCCGTCTCAAAGCTTCAATGGTTGCTGTAACATTGCAGGCTGATCTGTCTCTAATGGCTCATGCTCAGACAGTGTTATCTGGAGAAATTGGGGTGGTTATTCTTTCTGTGCTGTTAGTACATATTGCTGGTTTCTTTGCGGGGTAAGTTGCCTTTAACTGTTGGTGACTTTAATTGTTAAGTGTGTTGTTGTGGAAAAAGCTCAAGGTAATGTACACAATTTTTTTCAGTATGTAAAGATTCACTCTAATTTAAGCTCAAAAATTCTAAAAAAAATTACATTGTAGCCTTGTATTAGTGTATTATTACTGTTTGATTTAGCTTCAGTTGAGTTTGATATATAAATTATAGAGTGAAGTTAACTGTACTTTGAAAAAACAAAGTATTCATAATTTGTAAGCAACAGTTGAGAAACTATAGTTTGCTGTCATTATGACTTCATAGCCATAAAAGCTATTGCAGTAAGAAAGTATATATTCAATCTTCTTTGTCTATGTGGATTTTAATTTGACATATGAAGATAGAAACTAGTCTTGTAGACGAGCATTGTTGGCAGAGTTTGCACTCATACAAATATTCTTTAAGGTTGTGGTGCTGTGCCTGTTTGTTTAGTTTGTTTTGGAGTTTTTGCGGTGCAAATGTGCAACTTGAGGAGTCTTTTTTTATTAGGGAGAGTCTTAATTTGCAGGTATATATAAGAAGTTGTTTGCGGGTTTAGAGAAGCACAAAGACGAGCAATATCAATTGAGGTATTAATCAAATAGAATGTAAACTTTAAGACATGATCTAGCTTTCTGTGAATCCTTGTGTTCCAGTTTTGTTTCGGCTTTGGTCAAATTGGTAATAAAGATATAAAAATTCTCTTCTTAAACTTTATTGTAAGTCCATAGAAGATCTTCATTGTTTTATGCTCAGATTGAAATGTCGAAACTTTCATAAATTTTGGTGGGCATGCAACACTAATCCTTCATTCACATGTTCGACACTCGCAGGTTGGTATGCAAAATTCTTCTTTGGGTGTGGTTTTGGCCACTTCTCATTTCACCTCGCCGATGGTTGCATTACCCGCAGCATTGTTTGCTGTGATTATGAATATAAATGGGAAGCAGTCTGGCATTCTTTTGGAGATATGTAGATCCTTCTGACTCCAAGGAGACTCCTACAATTGAGGTTAAGTGACAACTAAAGCACCCTTTCGAAGTTTTCCCCTAACCCGGCAATATTTGCTGTGAGTATGAATAGAATGGGCAGCAGCAGTCTTGGTGTCCTTGGAGATATGTATCCTTTGGGCTCCATTAAGTCTCCTACAGTTGATATTCTTTAAACTTTGTGTATGTTACACATAAGTTTAAATGATCAAGCAAAAGAAACGAGTATGAGTTCAAAATTGTGGCATGCCTACGAAACGAGAATCAGTTCCTAGGGGCTAGGTGAGTCCTCTTTTTCTAAAAAATATTAAATAATATATCTGCGCGGCTATACCTTTAAATATAAAATATTTAAAGAGTATAGCTAGCTGGCTGGCTATACTGGGGCCCCTTATTTATTTATTTATTAATAAATAATATAGCCGATTGGCTACACTCTTTAAATATGTATGTATATATATATATATATATGTATTGGGTGCCTTTTTTTATATATATAATTTTTTTCCCTTTTTTTCGTTTATCAACAAGATTAGTTTAGAACATTATCCATTTCTATTAGGCCATTACTCGAGTCTCTATTGTCCCCTTTTCATTTTTTACTTTTCCAGAGTTATTACTTGTATAAAGAATTTAGCATTTTCCCGTTTAATACTGGTATTATACACGTATTTTTCAATAATACTTCCCTTTTTTGTACACATCTTAAAGATTCGGTAAAATACACGTTTTTTTTAACAAGCAAAACATACAATACATATATTGTACACGTACCTACGTATTCTTGAAGTTCAATACACGTGTATTATACAAAATTTTCAATAATACGCACAAAATTCACGTATTGTACACATAATTTTCAAATATTGTAGAATATAAATAATATATATTTAAATATTTCAATAAATTATATTAAAAATATTGTATAGTGGCCGAACTTTTCAATTCTAACTTGGCCAAATTTTGTCGAATAAAACACGTACGCCTAATAGTAATGGATAATCCTCTAAACTACTATGATCATGTTGTGCAATGGTGCTTTTCATGCTATTAGTTCTTACTGCGGATTTTTTGTAAATTTTTTTTTAGTAAATAGTACAGCCACACGGAGTATAACCGTGCTGCGGCTATGGCGGCTAAAAAATAAATTAAAAAATTGGCCGCCGAGGTGCTCTGAGCCGGGTCCTTTTTTTAATTTAATTTAATTTAATAAATAGTACAGCAACACGGCTATACTAGGGGTCTTTTTTTTCTTCATTTTTTTAAAAATAAATAGTATGGCCGCGCGGCTATACGGTTAAATGTAATATCTTTAAAGAGTATTGCCGCTCGGTTATATTGGTGTCCCTTTTTTTAATAAATTTTTTTCCCTTATTTTCGTTTAGAGCATTATCCATTACTATTAGGTCATTACTCGAGTCTCTATGGTCCCTTTTTGATTTTTTACATTTTTCGAGTTATTACCCGTATAAAGAATTTTAGAGCTAAACCCTAAATTTACTAAGAATGGAGCATTTTCCCCGTTTAATACTTGTCTTATACACGTATGTATGTGTCTTTCAATAATACTTCCGTTTTTCGTACACATCTTAAAGACTCGGTAAAATACACATGTAGCACTCGAGAGAATGAGGTAGATCCAAGGCAGATGTTCGCACGAAAAAAAGAAAAAGAAAAAGAAGAAGAAATAATTGAACTCTCATATTGATTTACAGTGAAATTTCCATTTTTTCAATATCTACTTTGGATATATTGAAACTAGCAAATTAATAACTATAAAGTATAAACTAATGGAAGTAGGCCACGGAATTTTAAAATTTCTAGGGCACCCTTCTTTGCAAACTCACCAACTAGAAAGCTTATGTTTTGCTTCCAGCGTAACCTCTCTCTGTTAACTGTCTTTCCCGAGCAGAAGGGTACTTGCAATACAATTATAATGGGAATTCAAATCATGTCATTCTCTTATGAGAAATTCATCCTATTTATCTGTCCTTGAAACTTTAGTAATTTGCCTCCCCACTATTCAACTTTAGTATTGATAGCTTACTAATTGTCTTCGCAGCTACTCAACTTAAACTATATACTGTAGGGTTTCTACTTTCTAATCAAGTTTCCAATGCTGCTAATTAATTGTGAGATTTTTTAAGGTGAGAGACAGTTACAGAAAACTTTATCAAATTAATACAATTATCTTCTAATTAGAGTCAAACTCTCCATATACAGTGCAGACTAAAAGAAACACACCCCTCACTGATTCATCAGGTGTACTCAAGGTGAGCAGCCCTGGAATTCTTGTCTTTGTTGACCATAAGAACACTATCAATCTATTGGTAGTCTTTAATGAAAATGTCTTGTTCCTGTTAGTTGGAAAGAGTCAATTTCCCCTCTCATTCTCTCTGAGTTTCTAATTTTTTTGTTTGGCTTGGTTCCTGGCATTACATGGTAGTCTTTAACCCACCAATGAATTCTCCAGGTGTGGCTGCATCAAGGATGAAGCCTCCCCTAAAGAAAGAAACATCAATGAAGCTTTTGAGAGCACTTAATTAACTTGTATATGTAAATATGTAAAACAGCAGCCATGACAAAACAGGGCATTCAGAACATCAACATAGGATGCAAAAGCGATCCCACTAGAAGATTTAAGTTAACCAAACAAAAAACCACACATATTCTCAAGCAACATTTTTCTGATCAACTTCTAATACCAAACAATATATTAACTCTAATTCAAATCACAACATGAGTTGTTGAAATCATGATAGAATACACATATGTAACATCTTAAAAGGAGAAGTTACCCACTTCCAAGGAGCATCTCGAGCAGGAAGATTCGAAGGCTTTAGACTGAGACTAGGCAAAATATTCACGAGATCTCTTTCTTCACTATCTGCATGATTATGTTCAACAAGACAAGTGTTACCACACAAAGGAAGGAAGGCAGGTTCAATAAATGACAAGGCAACAAAATTACCAACCAGTCACAACTGCGCTACAATTTCAATGTTGGGAAGATATATACTCTTAACTTAGGAAAGAATTGGACACCCAAAAATAACACCTAAATATATTACCAATTTTATTAAACTTAAAAGAAGATAAAGTATAACCAATTCTGCAGTTCCAAAATAAATAAAATAATAATTTGTAAGTCATATCCCTTGCCTGGACTGGAAATAGGTAATGAGTGCCTCATTGTTGGAACTGTGCGTGGCTCCTTTACTGTTTTGGACTCCATCTTCTTATAAGAAGTTTCACCAATTAACTAAGACATCCGTTAATTGCTTCTCCCCAATATGCTCATTTCCAGAAGCTACGGAAGTCTTTGTTTCTCCTATAACTGAGATAAGAAATCATAAGCATTGCACATATAGCATCCATTTACCATAGGAATAAAATGCTATCTTCACACTTTTAATAACACATCCAAAATACTATGAACAAAAAATGCTGAGTAGATACAACAAGTCTGTCTCAACACTTTTACTAACCAAATTCTATTGCATGAACTCTATAATAAGAGCAATTTATAATTTTTCTTCTTATAAGAAACACAAATTTAAGTTACAAACTTTCATTAAAACAAAGAAAGAGAATCATGATGCAGAAGACACTGTTGATAACAATAGTGAAGATTATTTGTACCATTCCTTATACTCAGTTCTGATTATTTGACTTCAGTAGCGGGCAAAGTTGCATCTACTAGATGGCCACTGGAACCATATTTCTTTGAATTCTGCTAACCAAGAGGAGCCTTTGGTTCTGACGAAGATATAAGAGCAACCAATTGCACTACTAAGAGTATATCAAAAAGCAAAAACTTTCACTATCTAGCATGTACTCAATCATCCATATATACAAGGGGAGAATGGAGATGATGTGGCTCATAGAATCAAAGCACGATAGGTAAAATGGAGGGTTTTGTTAAGCATATATATAGTTTGATCATCATATTTTGCTAGAATTGAAAGCTAAGTTTATAGAACATCTGTTAGACCAGCC